GTGGCGGCCCAGCTGTTCTGTCCCAGGCTCGAGATTCAGCCGCTGTTGAAACTGATCAGTGGCTGATTCCAAGAAGCTGGGGGCAGAGCAATTCTGCCTCCAGCTTCCTGTAGTCAGCCCCTGGTCAGTTTCAGCAGCAGCGGCTGAATCTGGAGCCAGTTCCGACTTACATACAAATTCAACTTAAGAACAAACCTATAGTCCCTATCTTGTACGTAACCCGGGGTCTGCTTGTATTCCAAACAAATGTTTGCATTTACAACAACAAATTGTTTTGCTAATGTAATAAACTCCACGTAAGACTCTTCCATGAGCTTATAGTTGCAGAATCAGCGCCTTAAGTTGGAGCAATTGCTGTTAGGTGTCTCAGAGAAAGACAGCCTCAGACACAAAGCTTTGTTAAGGAGCTGGCTGAGGTCAGTGGGGACACAGAAGGCCACATGACCTGAAAGAGCCCATTTCTGGCTATTTTACAAAAGTGATTAAAAAGAAAATGAAGCCAAATGAAAACAAAATATTATGCTTTTTTTAAACAGTATGTTCTAAGTGGAACAGTAGTGACACAGAGTTAAAGGCAGTAAAGCATCTATTAAAGTTTTCAATTGCCTACTACTTTAAGGAAATTTGACCTAAGCACCTGATATTAAGATCTGGTTGTGGTACATTCCTATTTTTTTAGTTTGATCTAAAACAATTCATCTATTTCCTTTTATTAAGGATTACTACAACCTTTCAATATCCTCTAATGCTGGAATAGCTGAGGTAGAAAGAAATCTGACAAGAATAGTTCTTACTGATCAGAACTTCTCAAAGTTCTGTTAAGTCGTATGTCACACGGACACAATGCACGTTATGTTACTTTTAAAAGCAACATCAGAAACCTCAATAGGCAGCCCCATGCTGAGATAGTCAAAGTTATTTTCTTGATCTTTAAAGAGTGTACCAAGCCACTCATCAGTTTCATGTGCATTTAATGGAGATTCTAGTGTGTGTCTGTCTGTCACATAGGCTGCGTCTAGACTGGCAAGTTTTTCCACAAAAGCAACTGCTTTTGTGCAAAAACTTGCCAGCTGTCTACACTGGCCGCTTGATTTTGCGCCAAAGCACTGACGTTCTACTGTCCGAAATCAGTGCTTCTTGCGCAAATGCTTTGATGTTCCCATTCGGGCAAGAGCTCTTTTCCGGAAATGTTTTTGCACAAGAGGGCCAGTGTAAACAGCTAAAAACTGTTTTGCGCAAAAAAGCCCCAATGGCGAAAATGGCGATCGGGGCTTTCTTGTGCAAAACCGCATCTAGATTGGTACGGACACTTTTCTGCAAAAAGTGCTTTTGCGGAAAAGCGTCCGTGCCAATCTAAACGCTCTTTTCTGCAAATGCTTTTAATGGAAAAACTTTTCCGTTAAAAGCATTTGCGGAAAATCATGCCAGTCTAGACGTAGCCATAGGGAGGAAAGGAAAGAGCTAGGGGAAAGACTCTGTAAGGCAGTGGTCTCCAACCTTTTTACACCCAAGATCCCTTTTTAAATCTCAGAACAGGTGAAGATCTACCGCCCCGCCCCTTCCTTGAAGCCCCGCCCTCTCTATTCTCCTCCTGTCCATCACTTGCTATCCCCAGCCCTTACTTACTCTGATAAACAGTTTATTTTTAAATTATGCGATATTTAAAATTAAAATCACATGTTTATAGTTATGAAATAAATGGTCTGTTTTTTATTCATGATATTTAAATCTAAAATGAAGCATTTATAATTATACATTTTGTGGGGACAGAGTTCTGCGGCTGGGGGCAGGGGAGAGGGAACAGGGTGCTGGGAGGGCAGAAGACAGGGTTCTGCAGCAGGGGACAGAGTGCCAGTGGGGACAGGTTTCTGCACCTGGGGACAGGGTGCCAGTGGGGACAGGAATAGGGACAGAGTTCTGTAGCTAGGAACAGGGGAGTGGGGACAGAATTCTGTGGCTGGGGAGTGGGGTGCCAGCGGAGCCAGAGAGTCCCCTGTATGTACCTCCCCAGGATTCCCCCTCCCCCCCCGAGGGAAACCAGCGCACGCCTGCCCCG